TACCTCTCTTTTTTTCCTCCTCTTCTTGTCTCAGATTTAGCCTCTGAAATTCCTTACATTTTCAGAACAATTCAGCTTAGATTTTTCAACTAGCCTAATTCTCTCAAAACAAAAGCCCTTTAGTTGAAGGAACCCATTCTCTTAGAAACTAGGCCAGTGGTCATTTATTGTTACTTCATAGGCATTGGCTGGAAGCCACCAGATGTAATGGTTTCTCTCTTTACCACACATGAGCTATCCAGATATCTGTACAACCTAGACCAGTATGTATGTGTTTATACACACACACAACACACTTTTTTTCCCTCATTTTGGACAGGGTTTTTCTATGTAGCTCAGGCTGACCTGGAATTTATGATTCTTCTGCCTGCAGCCTCCTGAGTTCTGAGATTGCAAGCATGTACCACTATGCCTGGCTAAGAACCACTACATTTTAATAAGTGCCTAAGTTGCTCCTAAATGGAAATTTAACATTCTTTTATAACAGTTTTATTATTTTTACGGCAACTATAATTCACATATCACAAAATTCACCATTTAACAGTGTACAATTCAATGGTTTTTAGTGTATTCACAACCTCTAGCACTATGTAATTCTGGAACATTTTTATTATCCCAAAATAAAACCCTTACCTATTAGCAGTCAGTCCCTTTCTCTCCTCATCCTACCTTGGCAATCAGCAATCTACTATCTGCTTCTATGGATTTGCCTATTCTGGAAATTTCATATAAATGGATCAATACAATAATTGATCTTTTGTGATTTATTTCACTTAGCACAATATTTTTAAGATTCATCCATATTGCAGCATGTCTTGGTACCTTATTTCTTTTTGATGGACAGATAACACACAATTGTATTGTAGGAATATGCTTCTCCCAAATCTGAAGGATTGCTAAATTGAAGACAGTTAAGAAGCAGATACAGAAAAGCTCTCTGGCCTCCTCTTGTTTGTCTAAAGTCAGGACATAAATTTGTAAGGATAACCCCTCCTCCCCTTCTAGCAAGAAGGACAAAAGTTGATCACTGAGATGTGAGCTGCTGTGTCTACTGTGACAGCAGCAAAGGAGTCCACATAACAAACCTTACAAACTAACCCTGATTTACTACCATTTATCACTACTTTTGCCTTCCTACCTCGAGAGGCCTAAAACTGCTTTCCTATGTTTTACTACTTCTCTAAAACTTGTTCTTGGCTGAAGGTGCTGTCTGAGTCACAGTTCTAAGCCACTGCTCTGAACCACCTTCCCTTGAGGTTTCTGCTGGGTGGCGTGCACTAGATGTGTTGGTAAATTTGCTTGTCCTTCTCTTATCAATCTTCGTTTTGTCACAGGAGTCTGTTCCAGCTACTAGAGTGTGAAGAGAAACTGTATGTCTTCCCCAACTGTGCAGACTTGTCACATTTTGTTTACCTATTCATTGGTTGATAGACATTTAGTTTCTCCCAGCCCCCCACACTTTTTGGCCACTCTCAGTAACACTGCTATGAACATTCACTTACAAGTCATTATGTGGATCAACATTTTCACTTCTCCTGGGTATGTGCCAAGGAGTGGAATTGCTCTGCCATGCAGTAACTCTATGCTTAACTTCTTGACTGTTTTCCAAAGAAAATGCTCCATTTTTCAGTCCCACCAGCAAGTATAAGCGTTTCATTTTTTTCACACCCACCCTTACCAATGCTTATTGCTGTCTGTTTTTTAATTATAGTCATCTTAGTGGGTGTGAAGAGGTACCTTGTTTTGGTTTTAATGTGCATTTGTTGAACATCTTTTCATGTGCTATTTCCATAGGTATGTCTTCTTTGAAGAAATACCTGTTCAAATCATTTGGGCTTTTAAAAAATTGGGATATTTGTCTTTGTTATTGAGCTGTGAGAGTTCTTTTAATATTATAGACATAAGTCCCTTATCAGAAATATGATTTGCAAACATGTTGGTAATTTAAGTTTGGGCAACACTTGATTATTCAAGGGTTAAAACTTAGCCTTTCTCCCAGATTTGTTCCAAATTAGAAAAAAACAGTGTTCACAGCATATTCTAAAAGAGTGAATAGAGGGAAAAAAATGCAGTGTCTGGCAAAGAGCATGGGCTCAGTCAACTCTGGCAAATGAGTGAGTAATGTTTCTGTATTTACTCCTGGTTTGCATAACTACTCCGCTGGACTTTCAGAGCAATCATATTCATTTCATGGCCTGAGGTCCCTCAGGGAGCTATGAAGTACTGGAAAGGTGTACCTGTTTCTATGTGTCTGCTCTCAACCGTCTATTTACCGCAAGCTCATGCACTCAAGCATAAGGACTGCCATATGGGAGTCTGCAGGTTTTTCATGGTAAGAAGCATTTCTTATGTTCTGCTCTTTAAATCTGAGATTCACTGACTTAAGAGAAAGAAACAGTTGCTTTGTCAGCTTGATGTTGACGCTAGTGTTTGCAATGCTCCTGGGCATTTATACTGTGGATGTTTATTTGGAGGTTTACTTATAGGATTTCACACTTATTTCAGTCCTCCTGAGCTAAGAATGGATCCCTCGGCTATGGTGCACTGTCTCATTGACTGAGCACATCACTGGAGGGATTGGATCTGAAGCTTTGATGGGCTTCCTGCCCATCAGATTAGCTGAATCTGCTTTGGAGGACTTAGGGCCGGTAGACAGTCCTAGCCAAGCTGCCTGCATGTGCATACCATTTACAATATTCTATCAGTATCATTTTGCAACTGAAGTTTGACATAATCCCTTGTGTGTCATGAGTGTTGAGTCACATGAAAAACAGAATGATTAAAATGGAAAAGCTGGAGGAATTCTAGTAGGGACAGTGTTGAAACTAAGAAATTAAAGAAGGACTATGTATGAAGAAAACATTCTGGGTGAAGGAAGAACAAAGAGAAGGAAGGCACTCGCTTGTAATTGGATATAAACGACAGTCTAACTTTTCACAGGCAGAGCTGGCTAGTGTTTCTCAGCTCAGTTTCCATTTAGTGTACTGAACTGAGATGACTATGGGCACCTTTGTGACATACACATGGTGCAAGCACTTGTTAACTAGTGAAACAGCCACAGAGGCATAAGTATGCAAATGGCACCAGCAAAGAAAAGGGAGATTTAAAAAAAAATAGTGGAGTTAGGGAGTAAATTTGTACATTCTGGCTGCTATAACAAAATACCTCAGATTTGGTAATTTATAAACAACAGAAATTTATTGCTCACAGTTCTGGATGATGGAAGGTCCAAAAACAAGTATTGGATGATTCAATATCTGGTAAGTGCTCATTTTCTCATAGATGGAGCCTTCTATCTGTGTTCTTACATGGCAGAAGGGCCAAACCAGTTCCCTCGACTTTTTTTTTTTTTTTGTAGGACTTGGGCTTGAACTCAGTGCCTACACCTTGAGCCACTCCACCAGTCCTTTTTTATGATGGGTTTTTTTGAGATAGGGTCTCACACACTACTTGGTTGAGCTGGATTCAAACTGCAATCTTCCTGATATCTGCCTCCTGAGTAGGTAGGATTACAGGCATGAACTACTGGGGACTGGCCCCTTAACCTCTTTTAGAAGGGCACTAATTCCATTCACGTAGGCTCGATCCTTATGACATAATCACCTCCTAAAAGTCCTGCCTCTTAAAACTACTGCTTTGGAGATTAAGGCTCAACATAACCTCTTAGGTTTGGTGGGGTACAAAGATTCAGGCAGTGGATTAATATTAACATATTTGTGTGTTAGTCTAGCTCGGAGAAAATAATTTCTAAATCTAAATAGCCATCTATAATATCACATGCAATGCTTTTTCTTTTCCCCATAAATATAAGCATTTTTTAAACTGAATGTGATTGCTCTTTATCATGCAGAGAAAAGAAGCTGATTTAAGGCTCAGAGGCGTAGTGATTCTGTCCTGGATATAGGGAAAGAAGGCCGTTGATATTTAGATCACTGTATGGAGCTAGAAAGTAAACCAGGCATTTCACATACATAAGTACTTTAATCTCTATAAGATCCCCATGAGGTGGGTGTTCCTCTAATTTCATAGATTAAAGAAAATTGCCTAAATCACCCATGGCAGAATCAAACCATGTCTGTCTTAGTTCAGAGACAGGTTTTTCAGCTACGCCATGTTGGCATTAGCCAGTTCTAATTGAGGACTGTCGCCTGGCAAGTTGTATGGAGGAGTCTAAATCTATGCCCAGTTATTCTTTCTGACGCTGGTGGTATGGGGGAAGTGGCATCTAGTGCAGAGCTCAAAGCATGGTGAATGAATACATTTGTGACAGGCCTCATTTCTAGGGGACTGAAGAAAGGCTTTCTGTCACACAAGGGTCTGGATTTTGAAGGAGCTAAAGGGCAGCTCCTTACAACTTCATTTTTACAATACTTTTTTTTCTCTCCCTTTTCTGTTGCAGGTATACTAGCCAGGGCTACTTTTCTCATCCCACCCCCACACCCATACCTGTTTGCTTCTTTATTCTCCTTCTACTTGAAAGGTGATTAATGTCATTCAATGAAACATGAAACACAGCAGAAATCCATTTCTGGTGTGAGTGAGCAATAAATGTGTGGCTCATAGATTGGTGGGATGAACCACTTTGATTACCACAGATGGATAAAAGCAGGATCAGTGTTATTCTCATGAAAGGATGAAACATTTAACCAAACTTATAATCACAAATCTCAGTTCCTGTTTTAATTTATGAGTGGCAAGCATTCTTCAAATTTCTGCTTCTATATCTATGTTTAAATTTTCAATTTTCAGGATTGGGTTGATAGATTTAAATCTTTTATAGCTATCTGTGGGGTGTGTGTGTTTGTGCGCACGTGGGCGCGCTGGGGATCAAACCCAAGTCCTCACACATGTTGGGCAAGGCAAGGATGCTACTGTGCTTTATTAGGTTTTCACATATGCAAAAACATCAGTCTCCCAGTAGAGTGCTCCCGGCTTTTCATTTTGCAGAGCGATACCTGCAGGAACCTTTGGTTTTGAGTCCCAATTGGTCCCAAACTTACCGCACCATTTCACTTTCCAGTTACGATTGGCATCAGCTCCACGGCAACGAGACCTTGAGTTCTTTGACCTTGTTTTTCTCCAGAATCGATCCTAGACATAGCCAGAGAGAAAAACGCTTAGGAGGTTATTCTCATGCATCTTCATTGCTCAGTCAGAGAAGGAGCTGCCTCATTGAGGGAGGGTTCTTCCATGAGTAGAAGAGCACAGGAGTGAGTACAAAGAGGACTGGATTCACAGTGGACACCCAGGCTCAGGTTCCACTCTCTGCATGAACTTCCTGTCTCCTACCTTCTGCTGGTCTCATGTCTTACTTCTTCACAGGAAAAATTGAATGGATTGGACTAGGCTAGTGATTGTTCGTGATTTGTTTGGTAGAAAAATGTTTATTTACATGAAATCTTATACAAGTGCAACATACGAATATCAAATCAAATCACGAGGTTGGTGCTCCGATGGGGAGAAAGTGAAGAGCTCTTCTGCATCTCGACAATGACTCAAGCTACTTTGCCGTCCTATGACTATTTTTATGACATCTTCAATCCTTTTTTAAAAATTGGATAGGCAAGGCGACTTACGTGGGTCCAGCTAAAATGGTATCCATCAACGTTAAACACAGGCATAATATAGAAATCAAGATGATTCAGCATTTTTCTCATGACTGGGTCACTCCTGTATGTAAGAAGGGCCTAAAAGACAAAAGAGTCATTTTTCTTATGAATGGATCCCAAATATGGGTTGGGGCAGGGGAGAAAGGGCATCAGAAATCCTATCTATCAATGAGAAATACTAAATACAGTGCTAGAAAAGTAATAAGCTCACACAAACTATGCTCTTCAACATCACAAGTCATTATTGAGACTTTCATCTGAGTTGAACCTTATTATTATAATACTTTAGCAAAGCTGATAAAACACATTAGGTGGGCAGTATTTGGCTAAAGTTTTAAGTTCATGAGGAAAGTAATAAGTATTGATATGCATTTTTATAATCAGTTCATTTTAGATTCCATTTAATGGTAGACAAAATAGTTACCTACATGTATTCAGTATCCTTATATGATATGTCATAGCAGACTAGATATGTGTCACTTAAGTGTTTATGTCTAATTGGTACCAACTTCAAGCCCTGGAATTTGTTGCAAGGGGACTCTATTCTTTGCTCCTGACTTTTTAATGAAAAATTTAATGGACAAGACATCTCTGTTGTCTTTATTGTGGCTCCTTTGAGGGCTTATTCTTGTGACTATGTATTACTTACATTATATTTGACTGCAGGTCTGAAGACTTTTCATTATAGATCTAGACTCAAATAGAAAACCATAGTATGGACTAAGTCAAGTTGAAAAAAATGGATATTTTGAAATACCATTTCTATAGAATGGACTTTTTATTTTATTTATTTATTTAATTTTTTAATTGTTTTATTACTCATATGTGCATACAAGGCTTGGGTCATTTCTCCCCCCCTGCCCCCACCCCCTCCCTTACCACCCACTCCGCCCCCTCCTTCTCCCCCCCACCCCCTCAATACCCAGCAGAAACTATTTTGCCCTTATTTCTAATTTTGTTGTAGAGAGAGTATAGGCAATAATAGGAAGGAACAAGGGTTTTTGCTAGTTGAGATAAGGATAGCTATACAGGGAGTTAACTTGCATTGATTTCCTGTGCATGTGTGTTACCTTCTAGGTTAATTCTTTTTGATCTAACCTTTTCTCTAGTTCCTGGTCCCCTTTTCCTATTGGCCTCAGTTGCTTTTAAGGTATCTGCTTTAGTTAGAATGGATTTTTAAAAAAGTTCTTTTTGATGCATGTTTTCTATGTACAGAATATCTTGGAGGAACACAGGAAATTTATAACAATGATTGCCTCTGGGGAGGTGGCTGGGTGACACAATGTGAGAAGGAGTCTTATGTTTAATTTTCTATCGTTTAGATTGAATGTTCACCATATTAAAAGAATAATTCAAAACAGAAATTCTGAGACTAATAATACTAATGGGACCCATGAATCTGATAGAAACAAGAAATCCAGTGACCAAACAGGTGTTAACATTAGTGGATTTGAAAACAAAATTTCGTATGTAGTGCAAAGCTTAAAGGAGTATGAGGGGAAGTGGTTGCTTTTTGATGATTCTGAAGTGAAAGTTACTGAAGAGAAAGACGTTTTGAATTCTCTTTCCCCATCTTCATCTCCTATGTCTACTCCTTACTTGCTATTTTATAAGAAATTATAGAGTGAAATTATTATATGTACTCTCCTTGTATATATAATAAACCTGGACAAACATTGGTAAAATCGATTAGCTATCTTGAAGCTATTGGATATTATTAGTCTCGCTAGGCTTTTACATAAATAGAAAAAATTGAAATGCTAAAAACCATGTTTATTTTTAGAACTCATTTTCCTTAGTAGAGACTAGTGATGCATTAGCTTCTGGGAACAAACTTGTATAGGTTCTTAATCGAATTATTCAAACTGGAAGCATTTAAATACTTTTGGATTTTACACCGAT